GGGGCCTAAAGAGGCCTTTGGGCTCCAGGCAAACCCACTTAATCAGGGACTGGGGAGCATCTGCTCAACTCAATGCCTGGCACAGAGTAGGTGCTCGGTAATGTTTGCTGCATGCATAAACAGCAGTGTGGAGGCGGGGGGTGGGGGGGGGGGAGACACGAATGCTTCTCATGAGCCCCTTCGGAAGCGCCCCAGGCCTGGCACACCCTTAGCAGGGCTCCTCTGCCCCCAGCCCCCCAAGCCCAGCTCTGACCAGGGATCCAAAGGCAGCCCAGTGGTTCTGGTCCCCTTAGTACCTTGCGGGTTCCTTGGATGACAGGCATTTGGGACAGGGTCTGATTGGGGCCCCCAAAGGTGGGTAATGGACACAGATTCTCATGCTATCCCAGGTTTCTGACCACTCAAACCCTCCCTGACCTTAGCTCAGGGGCTGAAGCTCAAACGGAGCGCATTCCCACTGCCCTGTGCTCTGAGGCTGTAGCTCCCTCCCCAGCTGGAGGCTCTGGGGACAGGAAGTAATCGGGCTCCTTCTCTGATTGGACCCCTAGCACTGGGCTGGTTGGACGGAGTGGGGCCCAGCAGAGACAGGATTTTGTGGAATGTGGCGAATCATCAGCATCATCAAGGGTGCTGTAACTGTGGGTAAAGGATAGATGAGAAACAATATTGACATGGTCTCAAAGTATCGCCCCGCCCACCGACCCCCCCCCCCCCCCACGATGTAAATTACAAAGGAAAGTTTGTAATTGTGCAGTGGAGGAAGCTGGCAGGCGTCAACTTAACCAGGTGATCAAAGTTAGCATCACCTGGGATGAAAGAAATGATGACCCTGGGCCTTGCGGTATGATTTACAGCATCACTATTCTCGCGGAAAATGCAGAGTCTGAATTTAATTAGAAGGAAACAAACCTAAATTGGGGAACATGCTACAAAAGAAATGGTTTGTACTTGCCTACAGACGCATGTCAACTAAAAGCAACTTATGATTATACATTCGATACCCGGCTAGAATTTATTTTTCTATTGTTAAAAAGGGACATTTGAGCCCTGGCCAGTTTGGCTCAGTGGATAGAGCCTGGGCCTGCTGACTGAAAGGTCTCAGGTTCGATTCTGGTCAAGGGCACATGCCTGGGTGGCAGGCTCGATCCCCAATGGGGTGCGTGAAGGAGGCAGCCGATCCATGATTCTCTCTCATCATTGATGTTTCTATCTCTCTCTCCTTCTCCCTTCCACTCTGAAATCAAGAAAAATATATTTAAATATATATATATTTTAAAGGGACATTTGAGGTAAGGAAACCTTTCCTTCAAAAGAAAAGTTCAAAATGAAACGTTGCAAAATTGAAATAAGGCCTGCAGATTAGATAATGGCAGCGTATTAGTGCTAACTCCCTGATCATTGTACTATGGCTGTATAAGAGAATATAGGAAACATATGCTGAACTATTAGGGGAAAGAAGAGTATTATGTCTGCAATTTACTCTCAAACATTTCAGAAAAGAAGCAATGCTGTGTTTATATATGTGTGAGAACAAGTAGGTGAAGAGTACTCGAGGTCCTTTGTGTTATTTCCAAAACTTTACTGTAAGTCTGACTTCAAAGTGAAACATTGGCCAGTTGCAGCATCAGCTGGGGAGCTCTCAGTGCTTGGTACTTGGACGGGGCCAGGGGAGGAGGGATGGCAGAGACCAGCCCGCCCCCCCCCCCCCCGAAAGCGCTGGGAACCTGAAAGGAGAAATCCCCCAGCATGGACATGAGAAGTGGGTGCCATGGGCAGTGTGAGGAGGCTGTCTGCAGCCCTTCAGTGAGATGCCCCCTGGCCCTGGCTCCCGGGGGTGCCTGCCCCCTCCCCTCCCAGGAACAGCCTGCCCAGCCAAACAAGATCATCTTTAGTCCTGAGGAGAGAGGGGCGGCTAGAAAATACTAGAGGTGGAGAGTGGAGACTGGGGAGGGGACGGGGAGAAGGAAGGGTGGTGAGTGACCCACAGGACCCTAATGGGGCAGGTGGGCCACAACTCAGGGTCCCCTCTCCATAACAGCTCTTGGCCTTGTTTATACCTGACTGTCCTAAGGCTGGGGCCTGGAGAGTCGGGCTGTGCAGGCAGAGGCTGCCAGGACCTGGCCCAGGGGATGAGGCCATGGCTCTCAACTCCTGGGAAGGCAGCCAGGCTGGCGGGAGAAACGGAAGTAAATGACACTCTGAAACTGGGCAGAGGTGCCATGGGGTGTCCTGCTGGAGGCCGAGGAGGGCACTAGCGTCGCCTGAGGAGGTGACATGAAGCGATTGGTAGCAATGGCTGGGAGCTGCCAGGCCGAGCTTTGCCTGGCTGTCATGAACTCCCCAGCCCTCCATGCTTCTGAGGGGCCCACTGCCCCTTGCCAGCCTTCAGGGTAATGATAAACACACCCGATGTGTTTAAAGTGCTTTGCAGCTGTTTGCCCAGCAGGTGCATGAGCCTCCCTTCATCGCCCTACATGTGGACTGAACCCAGCAAGGCGGGGTGCCCACCTGTGCTCTCTGCGTTTTGCAGACAGAGGCACTGAGGGTGCACAGGTGCAGAGCCCTGCACAGGGTCACACAGCTATGGTGGCAGAGCCAGGACTTGAACCTAAGCCTCTGACGGAGCACGAGGGAAACTATAAACGGTTGCCAAATCCCGGAACCCATGAAGGTCTCTTCCCACTGGGCCCCGCGGCTTCTCCAAGTCTGCCCTAAGCGCTCTCCCTGGAGTTCCGTCTCCAGGCCTTTGTCCAGCTCAAATGTCCCATCTTCTGGGGAAATTCTGGGTGATGCCCCTCTGGGTGGTGCCCTGACCCTGAGAGCTCCACTGCAGCCCCAGTTCCAGCTGCAGGAGCCGGGCCCTGTGTCGGGGGGCTGCCTAGTGCAGAGTGGACAGTCCAATGCTTCAGGTTTTACCGGATACCGGTGATTCCTGACCTCTGTGGACTACAGGTTCTTTTGAGAATCTGGTGAAAGCTACGAATCCTTTGGTCCAAATGTGCATCCAGCGAGCAGGCTGAGACAGGTGATGAGAGAGGACAGCTGCTCTCCCAGACGGAAGCTTTAGAAAGGATCTCACATGGGAGAGAGAGCTTTCATTTCTGATAGAGCCCCACTCGGACACCCCCCTCCTGGGCGCGACCCCACAGAGGCCGCTGGGTCCCTGGCCCCATTTCCCTGCTCGAAGGTTCTTCCGAAGCTCAGCTGGGAGATTTCAGGGCTGCACCCCGGCCATCCCCCCGCTGCAGTGGGTGCACCTGCTGCTCCTCCCGGGGGTAGGAAAGCTCTGTTGGGGTCAGTGCTCCCAAGTCCTTTCTCAGACTCACTGCTACTCAACTATTTTTCCTCCAACGCAGTAAATCTCCTTCTGTTATTCTCCAAGTTGATATAGTAAGCTGTGTCATTTTGAGAAGAAATACATAATGGTATATTAGAGGAATATCTCCTCATTCATGCTTAGAAAAAATTTATTACAATGTAAGAAAGTCTGAATAGCGTGAATTTATTATAATGATTTAACACTTCTGCACTTGAGTTAAGAATGCCCCTCCATAAATAACTGTCCCTGGAAACACAGCAAATTTACACAGTTTACCGTTTCCCAATGTTGTATAATTCCAACAGGCTTAAATCACCTCCAGTGGGTGGGGGCGGGGGGAAGAGAAAGCCCAAAACTGGGCTGCGAAGTTCATCCCGTCCAACTGGCAGCGACAAGGAGCCGGGAGCAACCTTCCCCTCCTCCAGCCCCCTCAGCCCAGCACCAGACCAACCCACCTCAGAATGCAAAGGGCTGAAGGGCGGGGAAGGAAAGGATGAGGGAGAAAACCAGTTTATACCTGCAGAACAGGTGGCCTACCTGGGCCTCAGGCCATTATCTGTGTGGTGGTGCCAAGTAGAGGACTTGCTAAGTGTGTGCTCACCTTGGCCAAGTGGCCTGTACTTCTGAGATGGTGGTGGCATGTTCAGTCCAAGTTGAGATTCTAAAAACCATTCACCTGGGAACACAACAGACCGAGGCAGTGATGTGCTTTCATGGGGAGGTACAGGCTCAGCGGCCAGACCTGCCACTGACAGGACGCGGGAGCTCACAGGTCACATTGCCCGGGACTTTCTTCATCTGTGTAAGGAAAGTGGTGGATTGTATGGGCCATACGGTCCAGCCCATCCGTGGAACTCTGTGGCTCTGGAGGGGGATGGGGTTCGGGTAGGGGTAGGGGTGTGCATTTTCTGGGTGCTCACTCAGTTCTCAGTGTGTGTGGAGGAGGCAGGCAGGGAGCATCGCTGTGAAGCTGAAGCTTGAGGGGCTAGAAGGTCCCACTTCCGAGTGGAACAATGGAACCCCAGGGGCTTCGGCAGCCTACCTTGAACCACAACTCTGAGAAACCATGACCAGTAACTTTGTAAACTGTTTCTCTGGCTGCGGGGTCAGTCCCTCCCTCCCCCTGAGGACTAGGGTGTCACCCTCACCCCACTCATTTCCAGCTTTGTTCCTAGGCTCAGGGGGACCTTCTGACAATGGGGGGCAAACATTTCATTTTCAGTTTGGGAGCTGGTTGCATGATGGTTCTACTCTTGCCACCTTTGCCTCTGAAGGGAAGCTGCCGTCTCCTTGTTCAGGTGAAGGTGCAAGCTGCTTAGGAAACAGGCAGGATGGGTCTCTGGCTGCCACAGGTGTGACCTCAGAGCTGGGCATTTCTGCACTCAAGCCCTTGCCCACATTCTCCCAGCACCTAGAGCCAACTAGGCAGGACTATTTTTCTGTCTGAAAGAGCGGAGACAGAAAAGGCTGGGTGTCCATGTGACGGGTGTGAGCTGGAGTTGACCAAGGCCACCTGTTAGGATGTGGTGACCATGTCCTTTCTCAGTGGACCACAGCTCCCGTTGCTTTAGCAAGTACTGAGGGAAAGGACATTCGGTGACCTGGGGCTCTGCTCTTCCTTACAAGCTGTGTCCACTGATCTGATGAGGGATAATTCAATATCAAAACCACACGGGGACAATGGCCATGGAGGTAATTTATTAACTTAAAATCTCACATGTATATAAACAGTTGCCCACATTAAAAATAATGCACACCTAGCTGGGGAGAAGGTGTGCGCTGGAGGGAGTGTGCAGAGCCCCCAGCACCCTAGTGATTGTGGGATTCATCCAGCTCTGCTCCTTTAGCCTGTCCCTCCCTCCCCATGACATCTGGGCTTGGAAACACAAGTGTGCCCCTGGGAGGGTGACTGTTGGCAAAAGCATCTCCTTGATTGGCCTGGGCTTTCTAAATCAAGCACTCGGCTCTACTTCTGGAGCTCCAATGGACATACTTTGCCCTTTTCCATTTTGCAAACATTGGCTTTTCTCTCGCAGAATGGTGGGTACCGGGGGGTAATGTCGCAGCACTACCCACAGCACCTCCAATATATGTCCAGTCTGCCCCCCTTTTTATTTTTAAATATTTTTATTCATTTCAGAGAGGAAGGGAGAGAGAGATAGAAACATCAATGCCTTATGGGAGACTGAGCCCGCAACCTGGGCATGTGCCCTTGACTGGAATTGAACCCGGGACCCTTCAGTCTGCAGGCTGACGCTCTATCCACTGAGCCAAACTGACTAGGGCATGTGTCCAGTCTTGTTTTGGGGGATTGGCTAGAGGCTGGGCAAGCAAATCCCGAACAGTCACTTCACAGAAAGGAAAAGGCAGATTCCTATGTGCCAGGATTCAATTCATAATGAAAACATTAGATTAGGTACAAATTCACATCTCACTGACACCCAGGAAGTGCCCACAGGATGGATACACATGGTGGGGAAGGTGGCATATGAAAAATGTTGATTGATACTCTGCTGGAAATCAATCTTTGCTCTTCCAAGTTGCTCATTAAGGGGAGGTAAAGAAACAAATTCCATTCTGTGGCATGTGACCCCCAAAGCCTTCAGTTTAGATCTCACTTATGACTCTTCTAAAGGCAAACAAGCTTCTTAAAGAAGCCACAGTTCTCTTTTCGGTCCTTCTGGCATCCACTGACCCTGGAGGGTGGAGGCCACTGGTGGCCGGAAGGGAGGAGTGTGGTCTGGATGACCCCTGGGAGTTGGGTGCACTTAGGTGGTCATAACACATGGAGCGAGAATATATGGTCTGCAAACCTAACTGAGAAAATGGCCACCCATTTTCCACACGCTTTCTGAAATAGGATGACATTGAGTCGGCGACTTTCATGGGGGTGAACTTGAAAAGGACATTGTAGTCGGCAAGGATTTTTAAACGTTTCAAGTGAATGTCTCCAACTCAGTCCTGACCTTGTATTTACTGTGGATCAAGAATATGGTGTTGGGAGGCTCCGAAGCACAAGAGACCGGAGTGAAGGAAGGTGGGGGAGGTGACGGGCTCAGCCTGAGAGACAGTGCGATTTAGATCTGTCCAGGCAGGGAGGCTGCTCATGGCTTTGTAGGCGGAAATCATCTATTTTGATGGAGAATTCAGGGAAGCCATGCAGGCTCACTCAGTGCAGCTGCCCCGGGGGGTGAGGGGGTCTGACCTGCCTACCAATTCCGAATGACAGAGTCTTGCTCCTAGTTCAAGCCTGGGGCTGGTGAGAGGGAGAGAAAAGCAGCACCGTCCATGTCAAACAGTCATGCAGTAATACACACCGGGGGACACATCTTCCCCTTGCTCCAGTGCCTGGAAAGGGTTCGACTCACTGGCTCTGTGCGGTCATCACCCAGCCAGCAGCCTGAGAGGCCGCTGAGCTATAGTAAGCTGAAGGATGGAGCTCAGAGCTCTGCTGGACAGGAGTCTTTCTCTGGGTCAAGGGGAAGTCCAGTGGGAAATGGGGAGGCTCTGCTGGGGGTGGCAGAGCATAACCGGGTGAGTAGAGGTGGCTCTTTGGAGGCATGGGACATTAGCCCTGGGCAGCCAGGGTCTTGGATCCTCATGAAAGAGGAGGGCTGGAGAAAGCCTATCAGCCTGCAGGAACTGAGGCTACTGTCCCTCCAGTGGTATCTTCTCCAGACACAACCATGGGACACTTGGATCAACAAAATACGGAGAGATTACTCTTATTCATCCAGGGAAATTGGTGCATGGTAGGAAAAGTATTTCAGGCTTCTGCCTCCAATGGTGCGGCCACTCTTGTGTGAGTTCATGCCGGTTTCCAGGGGTTGGGTGGGTCCTGTGGGTCCCTCCCTCGAGCCCACTGAGCCCTTTTGGTCATGGGATGCACAGCTGCCAGGCTGATGACCAATGACTGACTCACACTTGGCCTTCAGTGTTGCTTGTGATAACAGGTGCACCAACTCCAGCTTCAGAATTAAATGACTACACTTAGATGTAGGTGCGGAGAGAACAGGGTAAGAGGTAAAAGGGTCTGTCCGCCTGAAATTGCTTATGTTACAAGGGGCTACTTTTAAATTGGAGGAATATTTCAGTAGATAGGTTTTCCTTGTGTACAAAAGTGAGCCAACCTTTTCCAGCAAATATTGAGAAGGAAAGACTTTTGAAGCAAGGCTGCATATGCAATGGCCTCCACCATGTTGAATTTTCTCATCTCTGCTTGGCATAGAAAAGATACTGCCTGCCATCCCACCCCCCTAATGTGTTAGCTACTGATGGGTCTGGTCAAAACACACTGGGGTTGTTAGGATGATTTCTATAATCAATACATAACAGAATGCTGGTGAGAAAGGGCCCTGCGAAAGGAGAGACACAATTACTTGCAATTAAAACTTAAAAGTCCTAGATCGGTATATTAAGAAACCTACAAAGTGCTTATGGAAATTTTGTATCAACTGCTTCAGTGTCAAATGAAAAAGATGTCTTCTAGAATTTGATTCTCCTGTAGGTCATCGGGGGTCCTGCCTGCCCCCATCTTCTTCCGGGTTGATTTTAGAGAACTGAGTCGGCAAGTGCTGTGATTCCAGGCCCCGGCTTCTCTGCAGGGATGGGGCTGAGGTTTAGCAGCAGACTTTGGGCTCAAAGATTGAACTAAATCCAACAGAGATGTCTCATACCTGCAACACACACAACCAGACAGAGAATGATCAGACCAGGGGAACAGAGAACCCAAGGAGCCCACAGAGACGGCTGCCCAGGGCCAGAACGGGACATCCGGTGCAAGAGGGCCTCTCAGGGGCGCTTAGGGAAGGTCACACCAGAAGGCACCCTCTGTCCATCCATAAGCTCTTCTCTTCTGCTCACTTCTAACATTTTTTTTCTTTAATCTTTAAAAATTTTTATTACATTTATTGGGATAACATTGGTTGACAGTATATAAATTTCAGGTGTACAACTTTATAATATAACATCTACAAACATTTTGTGCTCACCACCGGAAGTCTGGTCGCCTTCCATTACCACATATTTGGCCCCCTTTATTGCCGGGGTCCAACCCCAGCAGGTCCAGGGGTTCCCAAAGGCGTAGACGGAGTCGGCGAAGAAGGAAGGACACGGAGACAGTGTTCAGTTGATCAGCAGCCTAGCCAGGATCTCCAGCCAAGTTCTGGTCTGGATCTCCAGAGAGGTTCTGCTTAGGATCTCCAGCCAGGTTCTGTGTCCATGTTCTCTTGCTAGGTTCCCCAGCCAGGTTCCCCAGCCAGGTTCGGTCACCAGATTCTGTAGCCAGGTTCTTCATCCAGGTTCTGGCTAGGTTCTCTAGCCAGGTTCAGTCACCAGGTTCTAGTCAGGTTCTCTTGCCAATTTCTGTAGTCAGGTTCAGTCCAGGATCTTTTGCCATGTTCTCTCGCTAGGTTCTGTCTCTAGGTTCTGTTGCCAGTTTCTGTCCAGGATCTTTTGCCATGTTCTCACCAGCGAAGTTCTTCTGTCTCTAAGTTCTGTGTAGGTTCTGTCTTCTAAGTTCTGTCTTGTTACATCTGTATTTATACCAGTTGATTCCAATCCTATCAATCTCTATTCCAAAGGTTAGGGCGTTTCTTATCTCCATTCCAGGGAGTAAAGATTATATAGCTTAAGTATGATTGTTCTTAGTTAAAGTGATTAATTACCCACCTGGCACTTAGTTAAGAGGTTTTATTCCCTCCCTAACTTCAGGGGAAAATCCCTACCTGGGGAAACAACCTTTCTCAGAGACCTTGGTTAAAACACATAGTGCCAAGAAGGTGAGCAAACATATTAAGAACAGTATGCCATATATGCCAGGTCCCTTGAAACAGCAAGCATGGACCGGCTCCCGGCACTTTACCCTCTTCATTCCTTCCCCATCCCTTTCCCCTTTGGTAACCATAATTCTTGTTGTCTGTATCTAAGAGTTTATTTGTGTGTTTTTTGTTTTGTTCATGTGTTTTATATCCCACATGAGTGAAACCATATGGTTCTTGTCCTTTTCCTTCTGACTTATTTCACTTAGCATAATAATCTCAAGATCCATCCATGTTGCAAATGGCAATATTTTGTCTTTTTTTTTTATGGCCGAGTGGTATTCCATTGTATATATGTACCACACCTTCTTTAGCCAATCATCTGTTGAAGGGCACTTGGGCTGTTTATAATGTATTGGCTTTCTATATATATAAAAGACCAGAGACCAGAATGGCGTAATGACCAGAATGACTGGAATGACCAGTGGCTATGATGCACACTGTGGCAGCCAACCAGCCTGATCTGGGCCCCGATTGGGCCTCCCCCAGGCTGGCCCGGTCCCCGATCGGCCCCCAACACCCTGATTGGGGGTGAGGCCGGCTGGCCAACTGCCCGCGGCCCCTCCCCCAACCAGCCTGGCCTGATGGGCTCCCATTGGTGTTGGCCGGCTGGACCCCACCCATGCTCAAATTCGTGCACTGGGCCTCTAGTTATAAATAATGCTATAATGAGTATAGGGGTACACATATCTTTATGAATACTAATATATCTATTGGCCATCTGTATGTCTTCCCTGGAAAAGTGTCTGTTCAGGTCTCTACCCATTTTTAAATTTGATTGTTTTGTTGTTGTTGAGTTGAATGAGTTCTTTATATATTTATATTTATATTTTGGATATTAGCCCCTTATTGGATGTATTGTTTGCAAATATCTTCTCCTATTAGGTTGGCTGCCTCTTTGTTTTGTTGATGGTTTCTTTTGCTGAGTAGAAGCTTTTTAGTTTGATATAGTCTCACTCATTTATTTTTCCTTTTACTTCCCCTGTTTTTGGGGCTTGGATAACTATTCTTCATCCTACTAGATGTCAATTAAAATATCACTATTTCAGAGAGGACTTCTTTAACCCCAGTATGTAAATTAGATTGCCCCAATTATTTTTCTTCTCATAATAATTTGCTTTACTTTATAGCACTTCTCACAATTTATAATTATTTATTTATATAGATTTGTTTAGTATCTTCCTCCCTTGTTACACTGGAAGCAATATAAGAGCAGAAACCACTGTATCTTTAATGCCAAGTACTCGATAAATAATGAATGAAACTACCTTGTCATTATTTTCTTAAAAATTTTAAATTGTTCAAATAATATAAGAATATGTCTCCATTATAAAAACTGAAATACATAGAATTATACAAAGAAAAATGCAAGTCCTCTCAACACCCTATCCTCCAACCAAATGCAAACCCCATTAGCCTTCCCAGAGAGCACTGTAAACAGTTTAGTATATGTGCTTCCGAATCTTTTTTTGTATAATTAAATGCATGCATGTAATTACACAAATATACACACATGTATTTACAAACTTAAACTGAGCTGTGCTTATGTACTGATCTACGCTCTGCTTTTCCCCTCACTGGAATGTTTCGGAGATTGTTCCACAATCGTGCATATGGATCTACCTAATTCCTGGGAGCTGCAGCAGGGTTCTATTTTATGGATATGCCATTGCTTTCATTTAAAAGAATCCCCATAGCTTTTATTATCTTACCCTCGCTAAATTCTGTATTTAGCATTCCTGTTCCATTATCTTAAGGGGGGGAAAAAGTCAGTATTTGGCAATTAGTGTTGATTTAAGGACAATTTGCTTGAAAACATTTCCTTTACAGAATGCCTTTCTTGAACGTCCTTTCTACCACATTCACACAGATAATGTCGACATAACTTGTTCAATAAGCAAAAAATGGAAGACACAGTGAAGGTTTTAGGAAATCTCAGATAAAGTAGCTCAAATTAGGTTTGCTTTTATCCTGCTATAAACTAGCCAGGTTCACAAAGATCTAGTATCTACCTTCCTTTCAGAGACATTGAATACAGGTGTCTATCAGTGACCCAGTGTGATTGGTAGTTTTTTTTTCTGACATCCATGCCAACCAGTGCCCACAGTCTACGAGCAGGTGCGAAGCTCAGGCGTCGTTCTGGTGTGGGGATTGGAGAAGTTAGAGCTGCTGTGAGTTCTCTTCTGCCTTCCTAATGCCATCAGTTCTATAGAGACAGTTAAACTGAAACTATTGGCTCAAAATTTTGACTCCTATTTCTATACCAATTTTGTGGTCCCAACCTCCAGATTTACGAAGTCAGTATCATCTATTGTGTTGGGGCTTTAAAAAGTGGACCTGCCCGGCTGCTGTGGCTCAGTGGTTGAGCGTCAACCTATGAACCAGGTCACAGTTTGGTTCCCAGTCAGGGCACATGCCTGGGTTTCAGGCTCAGTCCACAGTGGGGGGCATGCAGGAGGCAGCTGATCAATGATTCTTTCTCACCATTGATGTTTCCATCTCTCTCTCCCTCTCCCTTCCTTTCTGAAATCAATAAAAATATATTTTAAAAAAGAACACATCTATGAAATTATAAAAAAACACACACCCTGTGAATTCTGAAAAACATTTGGTTCCGAGAGTTTTGGATGAGGGACTGTGGACCTGCATCATTTTTTCTCCTGGCTCTCAGTCCTGAGTTAAGTCTTCACACAAAGATATTATCATGAACAGAAACTGACTTCCAAAAGTTACCCAATCTTCTTCAACAAGACCCACCATTCAAGGTTCATGAGCTATCTGCTCTTGGCTTTTTACTATTGTCGTTTGGAAATTTGTGTTAAAGATTGTCACGAGATATGCAAGTAATGTACATGATCTCAGAGATTTTGATAGAGAAAGCAAATTTGGGCAAATCTGATCATTTGTACAACTATAAAAATAACATTAAAAAAAAGCATTTTTATTTTTGTCATTGTAGCAGGAACTATATACATAGATTAAAACAAATTATCACCCCTCCTCCCTATGCATGCACTTTAAGTATTGGAAACCTTAAGGTAGCTTACTTATTTTCTAGCATCTTAATCATTTTGTGAAATCATGATGTTAGATAATGGCCATTTAATATAAAATGTTCTCTTTTCTATGGAATTGTGACTTCCTACTAATTATGAATTAAAGCCTAAGTTAGTATGGCTGAAAGCCAGAACGACAAATAAAATTTATAGAGCCCAGTGTCGGTTATGCTGAGAGAAAAGCACCATGAGGCAGCTTGGAGTCAAAGAGTGTTACTGCGAGGCTCCACAGTCGAAGCAGCGAGCTGACTGCTGGCGAACGTAATGCAGAAGCCGGGGGCAAGGGGAGGAGCGCTTGCCTTGCACGTTACCAGGCCACAGTGACGCTGGGTGACCCTGCTCGTTAGCACGCACTTTAGAAAGTCCAGGGCACGTATGGATAAGCACTCATCCCATTTTATGCTACACATTATTGAAAACACATTCTATAACATAAATAATTCATCAGTGCGTTGTTTGAAATTTAAGATTACAAAACTGAACGGGAGTGTTCTGTTTTATGACTGTTTGTACTTCCACAGAGAAAGACAATATGGATAGATGGACTTTATAACCTTTATATGAACCTATTAGAAAGAACAACCCAACAGAAAAGAAACAACCCTATCCTCTACACACACATACACACACACACACACACACACACACACACACACACTGTGTGCCACAGGCGGTTAGCTTCAGGCTTCAGTAAAGCTAGGTGTTTAGTGCTGACACAGGGACAGTGACTGTGAAGCAAGGTGTCCTGCTCACTCTCAGAGACACAGGAGAAGCTGGGAGAAAACAGGAGTTCTTTGGGAG